ATATATGTATATATCCATATATATATTTTTTAAGATATATGATATAAAAAAATATTTCTAATAAAATTCTATTTTAATATAAAGAAATTATTCGATTTTATTTTTTTTCGATCTTATTTTTGCCTATTAGAAATTTTCTTAATTCTATAATTTCAAGAATAGAAGATATAATTAATATAAATATATTAGAGATTCTATTATAGATTTCTCTTCAAAAATTTATTGGCTTCCATAAAGCTGGATAGAAAAAAAAATTCTAAATATAGATACTTAACGCCCAAACGGCGACATGGCATAATTAGACCATTCCATTATCTTTAAAAATGGCACAATGTTATTCTCGGAACAGCACTCAATATCAATCACTTCTTCATCACTGGGACCTCATACAACAACGCTCCGCAACCAGGGCCTCACAACACGGAGAGATTCGGCTTCATAAAGATATCCGTAAGCAAGCCTCAAGGACAAAATATAATGATTAAAAGAATCTATACCAAAAATAGAAATAGATTAAGAGAATGCGCTCGGATTATAAATTCTATCTGGTCTCAATATGAGACTCCCAGGGCAAGTCCAGCATTCAAACCCAATAAGAACAGACTCTTGTAGAATACGTGCGAGACTCCCACTGGACCGTATCTCCAGCTCCCTAGTCGGGCCCTACAGATCCCATCCCTCCTCCCCCGGCACCTGTTGATCTTAGCTCCATCTCCTCAGCTGAATTACAGGCGACTCTTAAGGAACTTGCCCATACCAAGGCTCCAGGTCTAGATCCACTCCCCGCGGAAGCCTGATAATGACTTGATCTCCACAACCAGGAGACACTCCTGAAGATGCTGAACCAGTCACTCCTCCCAATTATTATCCCCGACGACTGGCATGAAGCCATTATTGAGATCTATAAAGGGCAAAATTCCTCTCACCCATCCCTCTAGCTACCGCCCCATTTCCTCTATTTGCCAAAATCATGCACACCCGGCTATAAACGACGATCAATAATAGATTCAGAATCGTATAATTTGGATTCCGCGCCATAAGATCTATCTCTTAACCAATACTCATTATATACAGATTGATCGAGCGTGCAGGAGCAACAGGACAATCTTTATATACTATTTTTTTAGATTAGGAGAAGACCTTCGATAAAATCCCTTCGATAAAATCTATCTATAGGCTCTTCTTATAGTACTCGACAGATTCGATATACCCCCCCATATCTCATTACACTTATCAAGAATATCTATATCTCCCCATAATTCACAGTTGCAACAGCAGGCCACAGCAGCAATAAGGAGGAAATACAATCAGTCATAGGGCAGGGCTGTCCGCTTTCTCTTTATCTTTTCTTAATGGTCCTCGGGATAATTAAGCATTCAGAGCTCATAATCAATAATAGATTTCTCTCGTGGCTCTATAGACAAAATCAATCCTTCTATGATGTGGTTTATACTGACGAGATAATCCTTATAGTAGGCAAGACCGTCAGAGCAGAATATCTGCTCCTCGCTTTACAAATAGTGGCCTCCCATAGCAACCGGAGATTTATTTCTAAGAATTACGTCCTTTTATGCTCATCCATCTCTCCTAGCCTAATCATATTCCTGGACGATATATCCGTCCCCATTGAGCAGCCTACCAAATATCTAGGAATCAGCCTCAGCAGCGACGGCTCTACTCATAAAGATATTCTCAGATGCCTGGCAAAGGCAGACTTTCGCTCCACCAATTTTGGCGAAATATAGACCCATCATTTAAAAAGAAATTATGAATTTAGAATATGATTTTTATTCCACTCGTCATATATGATCTTGAATTAATAGTCATAATCATTAGAAATTATAATAGACTCGAGATATTCTACTCTTAGTGCCTCAGGAAAATATTCCATCTCAAAAGCACCTATTACGCACAAGTCCTTGAGTTAAGAACTCTCACTTATGCCAACCAAGATCCGTATTCTCCAAAAACAGTCTCCCATCCCCCACATATTCATTCAGCACAACTAAAACCTTGGATACAGAGGGGGAACGATAGGAGCAGGTCTTAGATCAGGTAGAAGAAGAATCTGCTAGATAGAAAGAAGAATATATCAAATTATTTTAATATTAGCTCTTAAAATCCTCTCGGTAATCTCTATCCGAAATCCTATCTTCTTATTTTCTTATCTAAAAATTCTCAGATTTTTTATAGACCGCCTCTTTTAAAAGAATCTAATGAAACTTCCAACATATGAGATACCTCTCCCAACCAATTCCTTCTCAATCTATTCATAGACTGTATACTAAAAGATACGCTATATGAGAAATTTCTTATAATAATAAGAATAAATATTTTCTTTTTTCATAATTATTTGAAAAATTAACAAGATTACTGAAAATTAAATCAGAGTAGAATATATTTTTCTTTTTTATTCGATTCATATAAAATTCATTATTAAATCTCCTAAAAATAGAATTTTTCAATTCCAATCTTCCTTCATATCATAATGAATAACAAAATATTCAAAGAATGAGACTACTTAGATCATAATTTAATATCAGAAAAGAACCTCGAATCGAAGATTTCGAAATAAATTTCTACGAAATTCTGAAATTATCGATAATCCTATTCATATTAATAATAGAATAATCTTTCGTAATCTAATATTTGCATACTTTTCTAGATTTTCTAGTTCATTTCTATTTAATCTATTATTTTTATTCAAATTCGAATTCATATTTTCTTCAAATAGAAATTTATTATATTAGATAATTCTACAAATTATCTATATATATAAAAAGAAATAAAAGAAAATAATAAAGTATCGAGCAAGAATTAAATATCGAAAAATGCTTATATAAATTATTCGAATAATTTCTATATTAAAAGAAATATATATTATATCAATAAATTAGAAAATAATATATTCTGTTGAGAATTTTATGAATAAGCAATCAATCGCCTGATATTTTACGAAATCAAGTATTTGGAATACTTGAAAAAGAAGATAATAAGAAATTATTCAAATGAATATCTATATTATATTTATATGTCCCCTGGCTCCGGGTTGCTCACTCTCATGTCATCCCATTTTCGATGCCTGACTTCTGAAGCACCAGTCATTCTTCCTTCGCCTGGCAGAAATCGCATGCATTGCAAGTCTCATTGCTGTGAACCTGACTCCGCATCGAGAATCCGGACTGGCATAGCATGGTCCGAGTGGAACGCCGAAGACGTACACTCGGGCAGTACGTACGGCCTAGTTTTGAGAGTGGGGAAAATATTTGCAGCCAGTGGTCCTGCATGCTAGTTTTAGCCACGAATAAACATGTTTAGACACGGCTTTTTTAAACATGTTTTACACATGTTTACACACATTTAGACATGTTTAAACACGAAAATGCTCGCGTTTAAAAAGAAAGATACACACGAACCATGATTTTTAGATTTTTTAGACACCCCCCCTTGACTGCAGCTGCAGCGTTTATTTTCCTGGTCTCTTTTGTGCATCAACCAATTTTAGACACCCCGCCTTGTACGGCGATGACGCGTCTATAAAATCTAAAATTGATCTCTAGGGATTGTTGATGGTCATGGCCTTCTTTGTATGATGCTGTGATACTCTATGCGGGTCTGGGAAGAACAATGACGGTGGCCTTGTCACGTTTGTCTGGAACACAGAACGATGCATGCAAGCTCGGACAGTACCACACAGACCCTCAAAGACCGTCCGTTTGGTCTGCAGTGAACGAACCCGAACGCCAAGCCTTCTCCTCTCTCTTCTCGCGAGCTTTCTGTTTCAGCTCCAACCGCTTCACCTGAAGCTCTTCAACTGTCCTATGCCTTACCACAAACCTTGTTATCTCCCTACCTGATTCTGTGAAACTGGATCAAGCTTGCATCCCCTAGCAGACAAAACTTGCAAGCAGGCAATCCGACAAAGGCTGCCAATCAGATCCAAGATGCTCTGATGACCATGGAGGCTGCCTCCCAACAAGCAGCAACTCTGTAGCAAAGCTCTGACCTTTTTCCTTTATGAGCCATGCTTACGTGTCGGCGTCATTCTAGATTCGACTGATCTAGGAACATGATCCCTGAGCGAGGCTGCAAATGCGAAAGCAAACCACCTCTCTGAGAAGAAAGCCGACGATGACGAACTGGCAAAGCCTGGGAGGAACCAACGATGGAATAGGATTTCCACACTTTGCTGCTCCAAAGAGGCCACTCATACTGGACTGTTTCTAACGAAATTGGATGCTGAAGGCGGTATATCGCTAGGCTGAATCACGCGAAACAGCTAGTGTTGTACCTGAGCCTATGCCTTCTTCAATCAAGATGTAAGGCACGTGCAACAGCGGGAGGCCCAGCATGATGGACGCGAAAACCTCATGCTGAACGGCCCGTTTGAAGATGTTGGACCACTACGAGTCGTGCCACTGCCACTGCCACTGCCACTGCCGCTACTACTACTACTACTACTACTACTACTCCCACTGCTACTGCTACTACTACTACTACTACTACTACTACTACTACTAGCCACCCCCCCTACCAACTACACTTCGTCATTGTCATCAACATCATCACCACCAACACCACGAAAAAGCAAACACATTTCATCACCAACATCAAACACGTTTCATCACCTTTCGTCACCGGCATCACCAAAAGTGCTGTAAATACCGAGCAAACGCCTGGATGTGTGCTCACGAAAAAAGCAAACACATTTCATCACCAACATCACGAAATCAAACACGTTTCATCACCTTTCATCACCAGCATCACAAAAAATGCTGTAAATACCGAGTAAAAGCAGGGTTGTGTGCGAAAGTAGTGTAAATACCGAGGAAAAGCTTTCCCCCCACCCAATTTCGAGTTTTCGCTGCAAGCCGTTCGAGACACCAAAGTTTAAGACACACAGTCCAGAAGTAGGGGTGAAACGGCTCTTGTGGCGATATTGTTGGTTGTGTTTGCGTAACACTGTCGTCATCATCCCCCGCCCTCAAGAAGCAAGTCCCGAGTTTGCAAACTCGGCAAGTCGATGTTGAGGCCTCTTTTGATGATCATACATGACGAAAGTGCTGTAAACACCGAGCAAAACGGATGTGCTCTTAAGATGGTTTAGAGCAGGTGTAGTTGGTAGGGGGGGCGGGGCGCCTACTACTACTACTACTACTACTACTACTACTACTACTCCTACTCCTACTCCTACTCCTACTGCTACTGCTACTGCTACTACTACTACTACTACCACCACAACTAATACTACGACTACGATTACGACTAGTACTAGTAGTAGTAGTAGTAGTAGTACTACTACTACTACTACTACTACTACTCCTACTACCACTCCTACTACTACTCCTACTACTACTCCTACTACTATTCCTACTACTCCTACTACTCCTACTACTCCTACTACTAGTAGTAGTAGTAGTAGTAGTAGTAGTACTACTACTACTACTACGACTACTACTACTCTAGCACCGCGAGTACTACTCGTTCTACTGGTTGTATTCTACCAGTATACATACCTTTTCCATCCAGAGTTCAGAGAAGTAATCACGACTTGACCAGAGAAACCCTAAGCCTCCAATCCTAAACCCTTACATCCCCGTAACCATAAAATGTAACCCGCAGCCCCAAGTCACAAGGGGATGCTACTGACTTGTACAGGCCCCTATTTTGTGATTTAGGTTGGGTATGTGAAAAGGGGGGCTCTTGAAAAGTATATGCTTGTTATTGTTGTGAGTGTTGTGTGGCGAAAACAGCCAGAGGATCCCACTAGTTATTTGTGGCCTGTATTGCTGCTTGTCGTATCAACCTCCCAGAAAGCTCGGGCACGATGGCAGCATGACGCAGCGCAACGACTAATAGTCAGGGTCTGGGCCTGAAGACCACGTCCTGATCCGAAACTGACCTGGCCTTTGTCCCGAAACTCCGCCCCGAAATGCAGCACAGAAACTGACCTCGAAAACTCTGAAACTCACACCTTCCGTGTCTCATCGCTCCGGAGTCCTGTCGAAATAATTCCACTCCTCTCGAAGCTTCTCGTACGTCTTGAAAGCTGTGTAGATCCTCGGCTAGCACCGGGATGCCGACACCTACAAAGAAGCCGCGGCATGTCGTATCCTCTGTCAGGCTTACCAGACTACACTTTATTTGCAACTCTCCAGCCTAATTTTCGGGCGACGCTAATTCGCACCTAGGCTCTCCACATGCAACTAGCTGATCATCTACTTCCCATTGTAAAACCCCAAACTCACGTCTTGCCAACTCTTCTGAAGGAATGTGCACAACATGTCTATATATTCCGAATGGGCCGTTGCTCAGCTGCTACAAGCACATGGGACCGCAACGAACAAGAGTTGGCGGTTGCTTGTCTTGGCACACACTTGAGTGTCCGTTCGGCTCGTGTCATGCAAGCCGCTCCTTGCGAAAGTCCTTGAAGCCTGCGCAACAGTGTGGACAAGATGACACAGGCGCCGAAAACTGCCCCATTCTCCGAGACCATCGTCACCGCGCATTATATGCCCCACATGAGAGCCCTCTGAAGGATAGGGTTTCGCATGTACTCCCATCTGCCTGGCGAGCACTTGCTCGTGATCTCCTGGTATGTTGCCAGGTCGAGATAGCCTTGCTCAGTGTCCTGCGAAGACCGGAGCGGGCGCAGCGACTCATGCGATCCTCCAAAGCTCCATCAGAACGTTCAACATGGAAACCCCCGCCGTCCAGAACTCTGTAAGAGCCCTTGATGTAGGACCTGGGCAAGTTCAGCACATGCCCGGAGAGAAACGAAGAGCATTTCTAGTGACCTGAGAAGCTTGAGCAATCCGTTCCAAATCAAGATGGAAGCTAAGTCTTTCACACTGAGAGGAACTGTCCTGAGGCTAGGAACGGCATGCTGCATCTGTTCGAGGCACCGAAGCGACCACAAAGAGGGGCCATGCGCACAACCTAACCATAAGCTGGGCCTCGGCCCTTCTGCCGGGATGCATAAATTCACGCCAGACAAGCACCGCATCGCAGCCAGAGGGCACCTATAGAATTTAGCTGAGGAAAAGATAACAGCCGATCTGCATTCAAATCTGGCCTTTTGGCACAGCTTTGGCCAGAACTTCAGCTTGAAGAGATCGTAGTCCACCTCGTACATGGCTCGGCCCTCAGCCTTAGAGTGAGAACCGAGCAGAACGACACGGAGAAGGGAGGCGCTCTTTAGGCAACATTGCAAGCATCGAACCCACCTGTAACTCGAAAAGCTACCCGAAGACGTTGCAAACAAACATCTTGCTGGCTCGGTGCCGCAGTGGAACTATTCCGTCCGAAAGCCTGCCAACCATGCACCGTGCTGCGATGGAAGAGCTGCTAGAGTCGCAACATCAGTCAGGCTGCTACAAAACAGCTACCCACGTCCGGACACCCAAAAACAAACGATGGGCCTGGGCTCTCACTGCAGCTCGGCGCTGTTCTCGGAGAGCGGAGATGGGGTCCAAGCCGTCGGCGGCCTCGGCCTGAACGACCTGGGCTCTTGCCAGCTTTGAAGCCATGGGCTCTTTTGGCTGCTTTTCCAAGGGCATCTGCTTCCATGCATGCGCTTCCGCAACCCTCGTTTCGTGATGGCCCCGCGGAAAGCGCAGAAATGCCCACGGCCTTGTCTGGGTGGAGCGATCCCGTACTTCGTCGGGGGAAGAATGGTCGGTCCAAGCTGCCTTGGCATGCACTGTGCATTGTGCTGGCGTGATCACAACAGCTGCAACCAGTCTAAACAAAGGCCCGTGTGTATGTCAGGCAGGGTGCCGTCCAGCATGATCAAGAACTTTCGGTACCTGAAGCCGTCGTGCCCGCCCAGTTTCACAGGGGAACTGAATGGGACCGCAGTGAAAGCCAAACTGAACCGTAATTTCATGTCGAAGAACTTTTTGCAAATCTCAGGTCGTTAGACCTGATACTTAGCATAGGCCGTAAAAACCATTCAACTAGGCCCAAAGGCGTGATGAACAACGGGAAGCTCTTCACGTGCTTGATGTTGTCCGGGTGCCTCCCGAGCACTTCCCATCCCTCTCCACGTCCATGCAGCACTTGCAGTACTCTCAGCACAACCCCCCATCATCATGCATGATCATCAGCATCCACATCACCGTCATCATCACGATTTACCCTGACCATGATCAACATCATCAATACCACCACTGCAATCGAGGCCATAGCTATAGCCACTGCCAGCATCGCCAGCAGCTCCTCAATGACTCCTCAACATCGTCGTCGTCTTCTTCCTCCGCACTCCTCCTCCTCCTCTACCTCATCGTCTTCGATCACCTCTTTTCATTCGCCTCAGACATCCTCAGACCATTACCACTTTCATCGCAGCTGCTGCTCTGACTATCACTGTCACCAGTATCACCATCAACAACACCATTGCCATCGCCATGAGCATCATCGCCACGAGCATCATCGCCACCATCACAACTCAGTCCAAAGCACCACCGCCATCAGCACCGTTCATGACTGTCGCTACCAATTACAAGCTATGATCATGACCGGCAGAAGAAAACTCACACCATCCTCTTCTGCATGCTTATTCTCGCTGTAGCCACCACGCATCAACAAACACAGAAGGTCGCAACTTGAGCTTCCTACAGAGCATCACCGAAGCCAACTTGAGGGCTAAGGGCAACAAGCTCGACGAAGCATCAAGATCCGAGAAAGCTACATATGGGACAAAACCCGAGGTGACACCAGCAAGCAATCAACAAAAACATCGACGTGCATCTTACCAACGCCAGTGATACCTGATACGCCTCTGTGCTTCGCAGGTATAAGTATACGTCATCCACACCGTACTGATTTCTCTGGTAAGAGTCAAGACGTGGGCACTGGGATCAGACAATGGAGTCGCATGCTTCTTGAGGCCTCAGACAGAAAAGGTCCATTGCTAAACAACCCAAGCAGGAAACAAATTCACAGCCTTGACTGCTCCAGAAGCCCCCAGCGACGCGTCTGTGGCACTGCATCCTGTCGAGTATAGAGTCAAGCGCGATTACGGCACCGGCAATCGTAAGTATGCTCTGCTGCCTCAGGTTTTGGATGTCTCAGGCTCTGCCGTGAGCACACTTGCCGGAGTTGCTGGTAGTCATGCTGGTTCTGTTCCTTCTCGTTGGCTTTGGTATCACAGAATGAAAAACACTCAGACGTGGAATAGCATCGCGCTCCGCTCCCACACATTCCGGCGATATGCTTCCGGATAAGTCTGCAAGGATTCTGCGTTATCTGCAAACTGAAGCAGGGAAAAGCAGCAACGTCTTGTTGTTGTCAAGCCAGTTAACGTATCTATCTATCCGTCAACCAATCAATCAATCTATGTACCTGTGTATATGTTTGTGCATGTGCGTAAGTTTATCCAATAACATCTCTGGTGGTGCGCCAGTGAGCATTGTGGAAATGCTGCGGCGGTCTCAGGGCCAAGGTTCATGAGTTTTCTAGATATGGCCCAGCTGTTGTCGTGCAGTGTTTGATAGTTTTGGGACATTAGTTCCGGCTAGCGGCGGTGTCCTCCAGTGCTTAATTACTGCATTAGATGATGCCTTGTGAAACAACTACCTTGCAAGAGCATCGCAGCAGCGACTTGGGAGTTTAGCTGCAAAATGCCGCCGTATTTTGTTGCCCTCTTGTTTTTGTTTTGTCTGTGGTTTGCGGTTGTGTGTGTTGGTGTGTGTGTGTGTGTGTGTTTTTTTCTTTGTGTGTGTAAGTGTGT